CCTAGCTGATGGCCCATCAGTGTGCCAAGTCAGAGGCCTGCTCAAGTCTCCTTCCTGCTGGCCCTGGCTGCCCTTCCAAGTGGAGAACCACAGACAGAAACGCAGGGCCACAAGTGATTTCTGAGAGCAGCTGCAGGCTGAAGGGACAGGCCGAGGGCCAGGGCTGAGCACAGCAGAGGCCGACTCGTGACAGAGACCAGGTCTCTGGCCTTCACCTGAGGACCTGCAGAGGGGCCAGCCCAGTTCTGTGAGGCCCATCCAAAAGAGGGGCAAGGAGGACAGCCCTGAGGAGGCCCAGGAGTGCTGTCCACAGGCCCGACTGCCCTTAGGAGGGACTAGGCCTCTAGGAGGAGATGCCAGGGCCCTTGTTCCCTGAGCATCCTGCAGCTGGACAGCTCCTGCGAGGGGGAGGCCAGGTGGTTTTGGCTAGAACTGGGGTGCCTATCGGAGACCGTGCTGGAGAGCCCCCCGCCTCTGGCACCATGTTCTCCAAGCCACACTGGCTGAGGTGATCCTCTGTGGCCCTGGCTCTGAGTGTGCTCTGGGAGCATTCTGCAGCTCACTGAGGCCGGAGGAGGGGCTGGGGACGGGGGACCTTCCCACACAGAGCCCCCACATGGGGTTCCAAGGAGTCATCTCCCGCGCTCGGGGGAAAGGTGAATGGGAAACACAGGTGGCCCCTTCTAAGACACAGCAGACAGTGTGCCCCAGAAAACCTCGCCCTGGGTGTTTTCCACTTCTGAAAAGCTCAGAAAGCCTGGCAGGACCAGGCTCGATGGACAGGGCCCTGCAGCAGCACAGCCACTGACCCCGGATGGGCCACTGACTCGAGGCGGGCGAGGAAGAAGGCCCGGAGGCGGCAGGCCAAGGCACCGTCCTCGTGTGGAGTGGTTCTCTGGCAGGCCAGCATGGGTCAGTCAGGATGGGCAGGATGGGAAGCTAGTGTCTGCAGACGAGGGTTTGAAACAGTTTTTCCTAATGGTTGTCACCTCCCTGGTGACACACCACTTGACAGAAATGAACAAAGACGACACCGGGCCCGCTACATGTCAGGTGCTTTGTGCTGCATGACTCCTGCTCACCTGGGGTCCACTGTGGCCGAGGTGTCCACCCTGTGCTTGGCCCTCAGAAACGCACCCTTCATCTTCACCTCTGCCAAGGCCGGCAGGAGGACAGGCGCCACGGTGCAGAACAGGGAGAGCCGCGGGGGCAGGATGCTTCCTGATGGTGCCTTCCTCTTCTGACCCAGCAAGAATTTTAGTTTCCCTTGAAACTGCATCATCTGGCAGGTGAGAGCAGAAGGGGCTCAGCGGGCAGGACAGCTGAAGCGTGGCTGGGAGGGTGTGGAGGACGCTCTGCTCTTGGGCCCTGCCCACATGCAGGTCTGCCTCCTGCCAACCAGCCCCACCCAGGCCTTCAGGGTGACTTGGTGGCTCTGTGACGGGTGTCGCCTTGCAGGGACAGGGTGTTCTTGTGTGAGCGCTCATGGCTTTGTGCACGCACACAGGTGGCACCAGTGCCTTGGCTTAGGCTGCCATCAACGAGAGCCTAAGCCACCAGCTGCCTGCCCGGTAGCAACTGTGGTGGTTCTCTGAGGGCTATTTCAGCTTAAATGTTCCGTTTCTAAATTATCAGGACCAGACCAGAGTCCAGAGTCCAGGTGAGGAGAAGAGATCCCCAGAGCCCACAGTCCAGATGGGGAGAGGGGAACCCCTAGAGCTCAAAGTCAGGGAGGAGAGACGCCAGAGCCAAATGTCAGGTGAGGAATGGGGAGAGAGGATTCCCCAAGCCCACAGTCCAGGGGGACAGGACACCCAGAGCCCAGGGAGGTGGGACCCCAGCCCTCGGTCCCATTAGGGTGTGACAGGCAGTGGTCACAGGAGTCCCTGGTCATGGGTCCTGGCACAGGCCTGGAAGCTGAGCCCCAAGGTCCTGTGCAGCCAGGGCGTGGGTGAGAGACCTGCTGGGAGGAGGGCAGGGCCCTGTGGCTCTCGGCACAGCATGAACCAGAGGAGTGGGCAGGTGCAGGGACCCAGGTGCAGGCTCCACAGAGGCAAACGCTGGGGGGCCTGCGGGGTGGGCAGGGGCTGGAGGACCCTTGCTCAGCCGCTCCCAGGAGGAGGACGCCTCCCTCTCAGTGAGGAGCTGGAAGAGGACACGATGGGTCAAGAAGTGGAGACCCCCAGAGCAAGTCTGTGAAGGAAGAGGCGGCAACCAGAGGCTTGGGCAGGACCACGGGGGTCCCAGCAGACTCTGCTGAAGGCTAGGGTGTGTCAGGAACGGCTTTAGGTAAGGCCCAACTCCCCTCCAACACAAAGTGACCTCCATTTCCAAGTGCTTTGCCTGTGACCTGCAGTGGGTCCCACTGGCCCCCCGCACCAGTCCTTCACACCCGGTGGTGTCAAGGGGACACGTGGAGCCTCTGGAGACCCCACCAGGGCTCCTCCTCTCTGTCCAAGGGTGCAGGGTCCCCTCTACCCCAGGGCAGGAGGGAACCAGGGGTCAGGGAGCCAGAGTGGGCTGCAGGTCAGGTCCCGCTCAGGTCCCACCCACTCACCAGAAAGCCAGAGGTGCTATCCAGCAGGCAGCGCACGCGGCAGACGAAGCACCGGGTCAGGAAGGCTGAGTACTCGGTGGGAGAGCCAGAGCCTCCCTCCTGGGCCCTGAGCAGCCTCCGCAGCACACTGTCATCTCCTGCAGGACAGCCCAGGGAGTGGTGGTGAGGCTGGGAGACGCTGGCCAGGAGGGAGCCACATGTGCCCAAGGTGGGCTTCCACACTGTGTGGGAGCCATTCAGCCCTCCACGTGGCCCTGACTCCCCGCAGTCCTGGAGAGACCGCTGCCACGGGGTCTACCTTCACGGTCCCCTGCCTTTACCATATCTGTAAAGCCTCCCTGCTCCAGAAGCCTGAGGTTGGTCTGTTCATCCAGCTCTACAAGCTGAATCATGCTGCTGCCTGAGGCTGAGCTGGACACCTTTCCTGGAATCAGTGTGTGTGTGTGTGTGTGTGTGTGTGTGTGTGTGTGGTGTGAAAGATGCAGTGAACGGGATCCCAGGGAGATGCCACCCACCCCAGGACCCCTGCCTGGCCCCTCCACGTCCACCATCACCTGTTCCCCAGAGGTAAGGGCACCAGCCCTGAAGAGCCAACATTTCCAGGGGCTTTTTCAGATCTTGTAAACTGGGCCAAGAAACTTCCTGGCAGCCAGGAGCCTGAGGGAGTTTGTGAAGCCAGAGACCGCGCAACTCCAAGAGGCGGCAAGGACTGGGCCTCAGCCCGCAGGGTGCCTGCAGTCTGTTCCCAAGGGTCCCAGGAGGACATGCTCAGACCCCAGCTCCTGGTACCTCTGCAAGGTGACGTAGCTCTGAGAGCCGGGGCCTTGTGTCAGTCACTGGGCCGTGTCCTTGAAGGGCAGTGGGACACCAGCCTCCCTCTCCCTCTTCACATCACGGCCTGGAGGTCAGCAGTTTTGCTCCTCCAGCAGCCCCCACCACGATGTGCTGCCCCCCAGGTCTGAAAGCAGTGATCCCACAACCATGATGAAGCACCCAATCTGAGCTAAAGAAACCTTCCTTCTTTATAAATCGGTCACCTCCGGTTCTTGTCCTAGGGGTGGAGGGCCAACCACAAAGGGTGTCCTAGGCCTGGCTACAGAGCACAGCAGAGCGGCTGGGCACCAACACCCTCGGGAGCCACTCACGGTGCCGTGTGACCAGCCCACTGTCGGACTGCTGGGTGGGGAGGTCTCTGGGAAGCAGGATCCAGTGTGGAGTCCCACATGGCGGCAGAGGAAAAAGAGGTGTCAGCTGTGTGCACAGTGCTCCGAGCTGCCTACCCACCTGTGTCTGGGCGCGGGGGCTGGCCGAGCCCCTGGGGGGGGTCCATGGCCCAGTGCAGCTGCCGGCAGAAGTCCTGGCGGTCCTCGACATGGATGTAGTCATAAATGTTTTGGTGCATCACATCCGTCTGAAACATGGAAGAAGTCATGTCGGCCTTCACCTGAACTGGCCCTTATTCCAGGGACTCTTACTCCAGTTGTTAAACTGCAAAACCCCTAGGTCCACCTGTAAAAGCCAGGTCCACCTGTAAAATCCAGCCACGATTATGGAGAGAAGTCCCCTGGCAGGAGCTCCCTGTTACGAATGTGACTAGTAAACTCACGCAGAGTGGATGAGCTCTGCCGCCTCTTCCAGGGGTCCGGCAGCTCTGTGGTCAGACCTGTGGCCCTGACCTGGAGGGGTGGGTGGCAAGGCTGCCTGGCTGTGACTGTGGCCATAACTGAGAGGTACATTCAATCGCCCACAGGCTACAGGGTTTCGCAGAGAAGGGGCAGAGAGCAGCCCAGATGTGCTGCTGTCCTTGGTCAGTGTTGTCCAAGTCAGGGCTCTGGGGAGGGTAGCCTGGGGCCATGGGCAGAGACTCCTCGTGGTGGGAGTGGCCCCCGGAGGCCTCCCTGAAGAGCTGGTGGCTCTGTGCTTCTTCAGGAGCTCTGTGAATGAGCAGGGTGCAGGCTGGTGGGCCAGACGGGACAGGCAGCTCTGGGCCGGCAGAGAACTCCCGTGTGACCGCCAGCTGAGGGCCCAGGGCCAAGTGAGGAACCAGGGCCAGTTAAGTGAAGAGGGCGAGCTGAGGGGCAGGTCCAGGTGAGGGGCCAGGGCCAGGTGAGTGGACAGGGTCAGGTGAGGGGCCAGGCCCAGGTGAGGAGACAGGTCCAGGTGAGTGGACAGGGCCAGGTGAGAGTCCAGGGCCAGGTGAGGGTCCAAGGCCAAGTATGAGGCCAGGGCCAGGTTACGGGACAGAGCCTGGAGAGTGGACAGGGCCAGGTGAGTGGATAAGGCCAGGTTAGGGGACAGAGCCTGGTGAGTGGACAGGGCCAGGTGAGGGGACATTGCCAGGTGAGGGGACAGGGTCTGGCCTTTCAAGGCCCCTCTATCCCAATCATGGTCTGGCCCCACCTCAGGTGCTCTGCCATCCTCCAAGGCTCAGCAGTGGGGAGCCGCGTCCTCTGGGTCGGTCCTGCCCACAGCACCACTGAGGCTGGCTCAGGCGTGGTGGCAGGTTCTCATTTCCAGGCTGTGCTCTGGCTGTGTGGCCACACTCCAGCTGGGCTGTTCTCCTGCAGTAAATGCTTGGCTGCTTCACACCGGCCAGCGCAAAGGATGCCACATGTCCATGGGGACAGCCACAGGTGGCCATTGTGTCCCGGGGAGAGGAGGTTCCATGGTAGAGGTGAGCAGGTTCCAGAACACACTCCCTCAGTGACACCTGGAGCTCAGTCTGTCCCAGTACAGCCACCAAGGTGGACAGGCCTCCTGTTTGCGGCATCTCGGGTGTCATCCAGACTGAGTGTCTTGGCATGTACTCACTGGTCTTCAGATGTATGCGTGCCGTGTGCTGCATGTGGAGGCATGGACACATGCAGGTGTGTGCTGCCAGACTGTCTTTCTCTTGGTCACCGTCCAATCTGCCTCTTCCTCCTGGACCTGGGCTGCGTGCCCCTGGCTGACTCAACTCAACTCTGCAGGGAATGCACAGTCCGACTCCTGCCTTTTGGTCTTGCTTAAGAGATCTTTCCTCACGGATCTCCTAACTCTGCCCTGCTGTGTGCCTTCCGGGAATGTGTGCCTCCACGGTCTGCATGTGGTGTGAAGGAGGAGATGAGATCCCTCTTCCTCCCATCAGGTCTGGCTGGCACTGCATCTCTCCTGAACAGAGAGCCCTTTCCTCCTGCCAACAGCAGCACTGAGCGTTCACCACAAGCCCAGGCCCTCTGCCTCAGAATACTGCTGCTTGCGGGTCTGTGTGACCAAGTGCGATCCACGTGGCCTATAGCCTGTGAAGCTGTGACCCCAGGAGTACAAGTGCCCAGCAGTCATCCTCTCCTTCTCCCTCTCCTCCTTCTTCTGGAGAGCTTGGATATTCTTAACCTCTGCATTTCCATGGAAACTTTAGAATTAGTGTGTCAATGCCCACCAAAAAGTTATCAAGTTTTTGTTAGAATTTCATCAATTCTGTAACTTGGTTTGCACAAAAATGACATCTTAATAGCTATGTCATGTCTCCAACCCATAAATATGGTATAGCTCTGTGGTGCCTGGATTGGCCTGATGCTTTATATCTTCTGAGTGGAGGAACTACTGTGTGCTGTTGATGGGTTGATCCTTGGAGGGTGGCGTTTCAAATCCTGTTGTAATGGTGTTCTCCCTCTAGTTCGGATTGGAGGAAGTGGGGTGCTGACCCCCAGCAGCAGGCAGGCGTGATGCAGGGCAGGTGAAAAGTGGGCCCATGACTCACACTAGACTCTCCCACAGGTGTGTGGGTGACTCTGAGCTTCACAGAACCGCTGGAGGGTGCTTATCCCCAACACTCTCAGGCCACCCCAGTCTCTCTCATAAGAAAAGGGGTGTGTGGGGTGTGCAGTTAACCACTTGGGGACAGACAGACCTGGGAGAGGCCCAGCACAGCCAGCTAAGGCAAGCCTGCAGACAGGGAACAGACAGAGCTCTGTTTTCACAACTAGCTGAGCACATCTGACTGCCCATGTCCCACCTGACCTCCCGAGCAGGTCCACAAGGCAGTGTCCAGAGAATCAATTCAAGGAGGGAGAGAAGGACACCACTGCTGGGCAGTGCAGCATGGGTGCTGCCGTCCAGGGCAGCCAGCCTGCAGCTCTAAGCTAGAAACCAGCTCCTAGCTCGGACACATGCACCTTCCTGCAGTCTGTCCTTTCCACCTCTCTGTATAAGCATGACCCTGGCTGCAGAGTAGTAGCTGCAGGGGTCACCAAGCTGGTCTTATCTGTGATGGCTCACTGGGGACAGCTGCCACAGTGACCAGGAGGGGTTGGCAGCTTCCTGAGTGTCAGGAATCTAAACCAACCTGCTCATCACAGGCCTGCTGGGCACGAAGACACAAGGGACAGAGCATTCAGGCTGCCACAGTAGGGAACCGGTCCTGGCTTCTGGCAAAGTGCTCTGCATGAGAAGTTTTCAAGAGCACAAGCTGTTGTGGCATCTCATGAAAATTCTGCAAAGCCTGATTTAATGGCATTTGGGAACCATTTCTTTAAAATAAAGGAAAGCTGTTTTCCACCTCTAACACTGGAGGCAGATAATGAAGCTCCAAGGAAACAATAATCCCAAGATCAGGTTCCAACTGGGAATCAATGCCACCCTCCTGCACCTCCCTTTGTCCCCAGAGCCAAATCCTAGGTGGGACACTCCTGGGAGTCGGCTCCTGCGTGCCGTGGAGCTCATGGATGCTGGGGAAGGCACGGGGAAGAGGTGAGGCCCCTCTGAGCATGAAGAAGGCAGGCAGGGCCAGCGCCAACTCAGACCCTGCACATGCCACCAAAGGGCCCACATCCAGGGCTATGTCCCCACCTGTCCATGTCCTCAAGCTCTGTGCTGTGAAGAGCACCGGGACCCCACAGTGAGGGAGGCACCAAGTCACAGCTGACCTCCTGACAGACACTTCTCTACTTCCCACCGTGAGAGTGACGTCTGAGGATCTGAGCATGAGGGGCTGGTGTCACCTGAGGGATGAGGGGCTGCTGCCACCTTAGTCCCTGGAGATCTGGTGCATCACCAGAAGGTGGAAAGCGCCCCAGCAGCCGACCGTGGGCACAGTACAGGGCAGGTCCAAGGCACCCCAGGCCAGCAAGAGCAGACAGAAAGGCTGCCCCTCCCCCTGAGGTGCAAGAGCCTTTGCCAGTGCCCAGGGCCCCTCGTGGCTCCTAGGAGCAGGCAGAGGTGGACACTGCCCGGTGCATGAACAGGAAACGAGGCTCGGAGCAGTCAGGTGACTGTGGAGCTGCAGAGCCGGCCTCCCCTGTGCTGTGTCCCCCCAGCTGCTGTGAAGCCCGCAGGTCCAGCACACAGTCCCCCCGTTGGGTGCTACACAGGGCTGTAGGACTGCCCCAGGTCTAGTGATGGGTGTGTCCAGAGGGGCGACCAACACACGTGGTTGTGTCCTGGGAGAGTGCCCCAGGGTGTGAGTGAGCGTGCCTGTCCTCCACACAGCTTCCCCGGGGCTTAGAACAGGAAAGGAATACCACGGGATAAGGCCTGGTGGTCACCAGATCCCTGCGGTTTGCAGGGAGCCTGGCCTTGGACTCAGGTGGCAGGAAGTTGAATTCAGAGGTGGGGGCCAGGAACTGCTATAGCTACTTCAGTTCTGGGAAACGATCTGAAATTAAGTAAAAGACATGCCGGCCTCGGGGCCTCAGGCAGACTTGAGCTTTAACACGTTGGGGACCCACGCGCTCGGATCCTGGATTCTGCTGCCTTTGGCTCTGTGCAGGCCTGGTCTTCTGCCCGACAGAGGTGCTGGTCTTGATCCCCCCACACACTGTCACCACCCTCATGTCCCTCCAGGCTGGCAGAGGCAGGGGCCAGCCGTCCTGCCCCACAGGCTCAGCTGGGCAGCCACCAGGGACCTCCTCCAGGGCAGCCCCCCGCAAACAGGCCTGCTTCTGGCCAGCCCTGGACCCCCAGGGCCCCCCGCCAACCTGGGCCAGGGCCTCTCAGCGGGTGGGGAGTCTGCTTGCTCCCGCTGTGGCCCGTGGGCTGTCTTCACACGGCCGCTGCTCCTGGGGGTCGCCGCGGTCTCCTACTCAGAGCCGCCTCCTCAGCCCTTGATTCCTTCCGACTGCTGATTCCCCAGCGGCTGGGGTGTCTGTGTCCCAGGTTCTTCCCCTCCGCTCATGGCTTTTCCTGCTCCAGGACTGTGTCCCTTCCCTCCAGAGGGGACGTCTCTGTGGGGTGGCCTGCTCAATGCACGAAAGGGCCCCAGATATGCCTCTGAGTACCCAGCAAGTCCAGGGGGAAACGTGGATTCTCTGCTTGACCTTTTGAGCTCCCATCGGACTTTTATTTCCCTCCAGAGTCCAAACCAAAAAAAAGCTCCCTGTCCCCTCTGGGCCTCAGAGGGGGCCTTCTGTGTGGTACCCTTTCCTGGGATGTCACCCTCCAAGCTCGTGTTCCAAGCCCCTCAGCCCAGCCCAGCTCGCTGTCCAGGTCTGGACACCCCCACCCAAGCTGGTGAGGAGATCCAGGAGGAGCCACGGCAGCAGACAAGGGCTGCTGAGCATCTGGAGCCTCCTGCAGGCTGAGGGGGACCCAGCTGCCAAGGCTCGGCCGGTGAGGGCTGGTCTCTGCTGTTCCCTACTGTGCAGGGCAAAGCTGGCAGCCCAGCACCCAGCCGGCGCCGCGGCTGGCTTCACGTACCTGGTGGAAGCCCAGATAGTCCACAATGGTGGGCGAGGCGTAGAAGATCATCCCGTCGGCACTCACGACCAGGGCAAAGCCATTGAGAGACTGGAAGAGACAAGAGAGCCCAGTAAGGCTCCTGCGTGAGTCTCCACCTCCCTCGGCTTCGCCTTCAGACCCACGCCTCCAGAAGCACCCTTTGACCTCAGTGCGTCCTGCCAGGTGCCCAGCAGAGGCCAAGAGTCACTTCTCCTTTCTCTGCTGGGAGTCAACGTGCTCTTGGAGATACAAACCACAGACCCAGGCAGAACAGGGCCTGCCGTCGCCCTCTGCCAGGCCTCCCCCCGCTGCCCACTCTTAAGGAAGTTGCTGGCGTCTCTGAGCTTTCAACAGACACGGAGCTCCATCAAGTGTTTCCTGTATCTTCTGAAACAACCTGGGCTCCTCCTTGTCTTCCTGCAGCAGCCTGCATTGCTGGTGACCCCTGCGTGGATGCGCCCTGGCGCTCTCCTGCAGGAGTGTTCTGTGCAGCGACACTGGTCAGCACTTTCCCCTCAGTGTGGTGTCAAGCAAGGGGTCATGAGGG